TTCTGCACATACATGCACATACATACATAGATAAATATAACATTATTTTTAAAAGCAAGAAAGTCTTCATGCTAAATCGTGCTACACTAGAACACACAGAAGATTAAGATCTTTCTCTCAACAATCTTCGCTCACAAATCTAGAAGTCAAGCTCTCCAAGATGATACAACTGCAGATGGAAAAATATTCCTCGATTACTGCTCAGCTTCTATCAGACTGTGACTCAAGTGAAAAATCACGTCTGATATTTGGGAGTTGCTTCTTAGTGTTATTCGAACTGATACAGAAATTAGTTCCTTAGGGCAGGGTGCTACTGTAACAAATCTTAAATACACAGGATTGGCTTAGGTGTCTGGAGGTGGTTGTTAAAAAAAAAACAAACCCTGAAATTGGAATATTTGAATGTGGAAATTCAATGGCAAAATTTTGCTATAACAGTAACTTGGGAGGCAGACCATATGTTGGTTATTTGTTGTACTCAACAGGGTATTTCAATAGACATATGTTCAAGAAGTAATTGTCTGGTTTGCAGGCCAGAAGTGAAAAAAAAATGGGAAAGAAAAATATAGCCCAGAAATACAAAACCTCCCCAATTAGAAAACTCCCCACTTGTAAACCCCAAAGAGCAAGGCATGAGATTTGACATGGTTTTGAACGACCTTGGCAGTGGAGCCATCCATGCCTTGGCCTTTCTCTGAGGAAAATTTTTGTATTATTAATGCTATCTCTTTATTTATGAGAGGTATGCAAATTTCCTACTTATTCATGAACCCCTTCCCATAATTTCCCAATGGGGATTTATCCATTTCATCTGTGTTATCTAATTCGTTAGTGTACAGAGTTGATATTCACAGTATTCACTTATAATCCTTTTCAGTTTCTGTAAAGAGAGCAGTGATATCTCCTCTTCTTTGCTGATTTCAGTGATCTGAATCTTCTTTCTTTTTGTCTCGGTCAGTCTAGCTATAGGGTTGTCAGTTTTGCTGAGGTTTTCCAAGAACCAACTCTTGTTATTTGTATTCCTTCGTTTGTTTTTCTATTTTTCAATTTGTTTATTTCTGCTCTAATGTATAATATATCCATTTTTCTCCTTGCTTTTCTTTGTCTTAAACGTCAATAAGTTTATTGATTTTAAATCTTTCATTTGGGGGTGGGGGTGGAGCAAGGAATCATGTCTTTATTAGGAAAGTCAGCAGATTGAGAAGATGGGAGAATAATGTCCTGGAGACCCATGTCCTGGAGACCCATCCTCTCATCTCTTTTGATATAGATGTTTCCAGCCATGACTTTCTCTCTATGCTCTGCATTGCCTGTATCTCATAAGTTTTTGTGTGTTGTGTTTTCATTTTCATTCCTCCCACAGTGTTTTCTAATTTTACTTGTTATTGCTTCTTTGAGCAACTGGTTATTTAGGAATGTGCTGTCAAACTCACAGAAACAGAGAGTAGAATGGTGGTTAGTAGGGGCTGAGGGCTGGGGCAAAGATGGAGATGCTGGTCAAAAGGGTACAAGCCTTCGGTTACAAGATGAATAAGCCCCGGGGACCTAACGTACAGCGCGGTGACTCTGGTGAATAACTCTGTGTTGTGCGCTTGAAACACACTAACAGAACAGAACACAAGCATCATCACCACACACTACATGGTAACGACGTGAGGTGACTGATGCATTAATTAACCCGATTGTGGTCATCATTTCAAAAAGTATCCATATGTCAAACCATCACATTATACACCTTAAATATACACAATTTTATTTGTCAATTATACCTCAATAAAGCTGGAGGGGAAGAGATGAAAGAGAATAACCATCATACAAAAGAGTGACAGGGTTTGAGAATCTCTGTATTTCTTCTCCTCCTTGCCTTTACTAGCTTCTGGTACTATACTCTGAGAGAGTTCTTACCTGTTATTCTCTGTGGCCTTTGTATCCATCCCACAGATGTTATTTCTTTTTAGTTACCTAGACTGACCACACTAAACTGATTAATGTGGAAAAGTGGGGAAATAAATCAGGAAAATTGTTTCTATTCTTGAAAAATCAGTAAGTCTTTTTAGTGTTGGTACCTAGTTTATTGAGTCATCAATTTCCCCCAAACTTATGAGGCACCTGATGTATTATGTGCTAGTAACCACAGGTCCTTTCCCAGAAGTAATTTTCAGGACTGATTTATTTTGATGCCTTTCCCTCTTAACAAAATAGTGATACCTTCACGGACTCGGGCACCATAGGTGGAATGACTACAACTTCTGTCTCTTTTCTATATTATTACAGTCAACTGAAAGTGGACTTAAAGTTCAAAACCACTCAAAATATCATCCCTTGCTCTTTGGGATTTGCAAGTGGTGAGTTTTCTAACTCAGTAAGGTTTTGAATTTCTAGGCTATATATTTTCTCCTCATTTTTTTTTCATTTATGGCCTGCAAATCAGAAAATTATTTCCAGAATATATGTCTATTGAAATACTCTGTTGAACACAACAAACAGCCAACATTTGGTCCTCCTCCCAAATTTCCATTAGAGCAAACGTTTTGTCATTGAAAAACATGTATTACCATGTTTACGATTTCCAGTATCAGTTTTTTCCAACCACTTCAAGACTCCTAAGCCAATGCTGCATATTTAAGATTTGTTCAGTAGCACCTCCCCTCGAGGAACTAATTTCTGTATCCGGGCAAATAGCTTTAGCCACAGTAAAAGGCTCCCAAATACCAGTGCTTGTTTTCACACGTGTCACAGTCTGATAGAAGCTGAACAGTAATTGAGGAGTCATTTTCCCCCTGCAGTTCTATCACTTTGGAGTCCTTTACTCCTAGCTTTGTGAGTGAAGAATGCGGAAAGAAAAAGATCCTCTTAATTTTAAGTGGGTTAAGTGTAGTATGATTTAACATGAAGACTTTGTTGTTTTTTAAAATAATCTTACATTTTTGGGTGTGTGCGTTTGTGTGCTTGTGTGTGTCTGTGCAGGA